AAATCTCACAAATACATTTTCAAATGAAGCGATGAAACCCTCAAGGCTTCAAGATCAGCTGAATAAGCTTCTAAGCAAGATGACGACGGATTCTGAACTTCCTACAATATCTCCTTGCTAAATGCTCAAACAGATAAACCTCACACTATTGGAAAGGATTTAGTTTATACGGCAGTAACAGCAAAACCAGTAGCAGATATCCGAAAAGTTCCTTTGAGCAATAGTTCCGTGCAAAGACGAATTGATGAGATGGCTGAAAAAATTGAAGAGTCATTGTGGAATCATCGGAAATCTTCTATAAATTCTCAATTCAGTTAGATGAGTCCACTTTAGCAACCAATAAAGCATTGTTGTTATCATATAAAAGCCAATCCCGCAATTGTGGTCCATCGTTCAACAATTTTTGATAGCATTCCCATCATCGTATTTGGTGAACGTGGATTTAGTGCTGTGGCAACGTTGCTAACTAAAAAGAGAATTTGGTTGCAGATTACCGAATGCGGTGGCTTAAGGCTGTTTTTGAGTAAATTCAAGCATTATATCAACGAATTTGTTAAAAATCATCAAATTCATCCTTCATATTAGATTAGTTTTAAAATTCAAATTGCAATGTTTGTTTTAATAACAAGAATAAAAGTTTTCCCAATATTACAGAATGGTGTTCTAAATTACCCTCATCAGAAAGTATTATTTTCACATGACACACAATTTAATTATTGAAATAATGACTGTGATTGTGATTCTTAAGATGTAGATAAAGTAAAAAATTGCACTATTATTGACTTGCAAAGTAACAGAATTGTTCACTATTTGCTCACCTCTGTCCTACAGTCACTCTGACTAATCCTTTCATGTTATGAACACACCATTTCGCCACGATAGGTGTGTAGGTGGCGCTGAACATGGCTATCTTTCTGTCCTTGCCCGAGCAGGCTTTCATAATTTCGTTCAGCTGATCTCGGAAACCTCTGTTTCCAGACTCGAATAGTTTATCAGCTTCATCAATAATCAACCATTGAACACTGAAAAATCAAACAGTTGTAAAAGGGATTGTTATTAATATTCATATCAAAATAAGACATTTGATAGTTGTGTTGTCATAAAAATCTGGACACTGTTCATTCAATTATATTCTTTCGTGAAGAATTGAAATGTTTTTTGCAATTTTTTTACCAATGATGCATAATTTTCTAAAACTGAAGTGAACTTACTTATTCAAATTAACCGCTGGTGGATCCTGTTTCAGTAAAAAGCATAGCCTGTTTGGAGTCGTTACCAGAATGTCTGAAATAAAAAGTGAAATATTTCAATGAAGGGTACAAATGGAACCTCTGGTGTAGAATAATTCAAAAGCAAACACTGTTCCCAAACACCAGAACTGAAAAATCTTCTCGACGCGCGTTTCATTAGGCATACATCAATGAATTCAGATAGAATTTTGCAGCAAATTTTATCTTTTCATCAATTTACATCAGTCTTTCTCAAAGTGGGTGATAACGCTCCCTTGTGGACGCTGGAGGCCTTTAGGGGGGCAGTAAAGGGCACAGAAAAGTTTGGGGAGCGTTGAAACGGTTTAGGGGGGCGATTGCTAATTTAAAAATGTTTTTTTTGCTTTTAACACAAACTTTACCGCTCTTTTAGGCTTAACGCGCTTTTCCTCAAGTAACGCCATCTAGAAAACTAGACAGTTACTATTTCCTGTCCGATAGTTGTCAAACTGTTCAACAGATGGCGGTAAGCTTCAATGCGAAGCGAGAAGTTTCTAGTTTCCATTCTCGAAAGTACTAGGCCTGCCCGCTGCCTCATATTAAAGAGCGCGCGCGCCATCCAGCCAGTAATGTCATTCGACGATATTACGAAAACAAGTGAATTTAGTTAGAGACTAGCTAGGTAAAGTACTGTACGTGCAGTGGTGAATACTGTGAGTGGTGGCATTAGCAAGTTTTTAATACTCGATTCTTTGCTTCGGCATTTTTGAAGACAAAATTATGTCTGAAGCAAAAAAAAAGAAACGGCAGTATAGCACGGAATATATAAAATATGGATTTATTGAAAATCCCACAAATCCATTTTCGCCTATGTGCCTTCTTTGTCAAAAAACATTTTTGAATGAAGCGATGAAACCCTCAAGGCTACAAGATCATTTGAATAAGCTTCTAAGCAAGAAGAAGACGGACTCCGAACTTCCTACAATATCTTCTTGCTAAATGCTGAAACAGGTAAACCTGTTTTCCTGGTAAACCTGGAAAGGATTTAGTTTAACCGGCAATAACAGCAAAACCAGCGGCAGATATTATCCGAAAAGTTCCTTTGAGCAATAGTTCCGTGCAAAGACGAATTGATGAGATGGCTGAAAAAATTGAAGAGTCATTGTGGAATCATCGAAAATCTTCTAAATTCTCAATTCTTTATTGGTTGAACCAATAAAGCATTGTTGTTATCATATAAAAGCCAATCCCGCAGTTGTACCCTGGATTGTGGTCCATCGTTCAACAATTTTTGATAGCATTCCCATCATCGTATTTGTAACTAAAATGAATACCTACCATATTTCTGTGAGCTATTCGGACCATACTGACTCAAAGCTCTTTTGATTTTACTGATTACGTGAACCCGAAGACCTCTACCTTCCGATAATCTCACACACTCCCTTTGGGTTTGTTTGGCCAGTTCTCTCGTAGGACACAATATCAATGCTCTGAATCCCTGCCTTTGTGGGCCTCCCAAAGATGTTATGATTGGAATGAGAAAAGCCGCGGTTTTACCAGATCCTGTGGGAGCACAGGCTAAAATTTGTCTACCCTGAAAACAACGGAATGTGACAAATGATTATAGCAATAATTTTATGGTCCATAAGATCAAATAAATATTACAAGTCAACTATTATCTGAAAGACAAGCAAATGCTTACTAGATTGAAAAATGCATATATACTTGAAACAGACACCAAAGAAATGATGCAGACATTTTTGAGTAACTTTTTCAATGGCTATATCACTTGTGCATGGACAAAGCTTACTGAAGCTATTATCATAATAATGTGTGACATTGTTAAATCATCAAATCATTAGGAGAGTACTAGTGAGATAGTTGTGTTCGAAACTATTTGGTGCAATAGGTAGATTTCACATAGATCAAAAGCCCTAATGCATACGCTGTATGTTCAAAAAATGAGGTGAATTTTCTATTTTCTGAAAAAATATTTGCTTATTCATCAATTTCTATATTTGTTTGTTGGATAAGTAAAGATCAAGTTATTGAAAGTTTCTGGCTGATAAAAGAAGAAGTAACCTCCTTCTTGCAAAACTTAGATACAGAGGGAGCCAGAAGGAACCAACAAGCGTAATATGCTGGTCTTGACTTTTCAAAAAGATATTTTGAAATATTCAAATGCGCTCAACACAAAATCACAAGGAAATGGAAAATTAATATGTGATCTGATACAAAAAGTGTCTGCTTTTCGTCGCAAGCTGGATATNTTTACTTTTGTATCGTATCTATTTTTCACCTGCATTTTGACGCTGTAGAAAATAGTGAGTCTGATCAAATTCAGCTTTCATTATACAAGGTGTATCTTGAATGACGTCATATGAACGTGTGTCCTAACTTGTTTCGTTTTCCAGAAAAACTTGTTTGAAGATAAGCTTAGTTGCAACCTTATGTTTGAAAAGAATTTGAAGTCACAACTTCATGATTGGGAGTGTCTCTATCAGTCAGAGAGTTAACAAAGTTGCCAAAATTGTGGTACAGTAAGATCTAATTCATAAGCTTATTTTACTATCTTGAAAAATTTAAGATCATCTAATAATGAGACAGTTTTACTATAACTCAAGAGTCTCACAAGTGTCATTAATAAATTGAACATAATAGGATCCTTATGGTCCTTGAGATACCTCTGACAAAATGTATACAATTTCTAGAGCCTATCTCGAATAAGAACCATTTTATATCAATTCATAACATGTTTATTTTAAAATTGAAAACTGTTTTCCTACTTACTTCTAGCATTAATGGCACAGCCTGCTTTTGAATTGGTGTAGGTTCCTCATATCCACATCGTTTTAAGTTTTCAATGATGTCAGCTTCAACATTAAAATCATCAAACGATTTGGATGGTTCAGGTACTCTGCGGCCAACAACGCTAATGTTATTCAGGTTCCTGAAGTGTCTAATCTGAAATAAATACATGTTAAAGAATTATATAAATGAAAAAAGTATATTTTAGGGAGACTGATGTTTGGAAAAAACAATGATAACTTTAAATCCTCTTGTTTCATATGAACATCTATATCTATTACAAACATACAAATTATGAAAGAAACATCTGTACAACATTACTTACTAGATATTTTTGTATTTTCAAATTTCAAAACTCTAGGTATATAATATTTCAAAACTATCAACACTCACTTTCTCCTCTTTCAGTATCTTTGCTTTATGATCATCATTATCAAGTTTCCGTTTCTTTCCCCTTTTCGAGCTATCCCATCCAGCGAGAATAGTAATTGATTCTTCTGGCGGTTCATCTATTTCAGCAAACGATTGGGAGGTAATTTCATCGTTATCAGTTGAAACATCAAAGCAGTTTTGTTTCGAGGGTCCGTCTTTTCTTAACTCTGCATTTTTCTAGAAATTCTCGTATGATTAAAAATATAGGGAATGTGTATTTAATCCGACTTACCACAGAGCTAGGTTTTTTGATAAACTTGGCTCCTCGACTTAGTTTTTTAAATACATCATATGCATCCATTGTATAATCTATTTCCAAGAGGTGGAAACTATTTTTCTAAAATTTTTGACTTAACGATTATAACCAATAATATTACGACATGAACATAACCTTCAATATTCTTATTCAACTTCTTCTTATTGGCCATAACTGTAATGTAAATGTAAACAACATTAAAAATATAAGTGTCAACTTAACATTGTCAAGCTGCGTCACTTGAGTTTTACTCAGCAACTCTATGAATTAAATAGTGATAGATACCTCTATCATTTCTCAATCAAGAGTGGTGTAGATCGATAGTTTTTTATAAAATATTTGACATAAAAAGGGTTCCAAGTGATCACAGGGATATTCTATGCATCTTACTAGCAGAAGTAGTTGCGTTGATTTTGTACCTTCGGATGAAATGTTGAGGATTATTCTTTGGATTAATTGATATATAGATTTCTATTCATGTTGAATATAGCTTCAATTTCCATTTTTTTTGTTGTAAGAAGTGTTGTTTGTTAGAATTATTTGGGCAATTTCATTTTTCTAATATGGCAACACACCATTGAATAATAATTTCGAATTGTATAAGGATATAATATCTTGGCACTATACATTAATGGAAAAGCAAAAGCAGCTTCTCAGAAATTTGAAACAAGATTTCAAACTAGACAGTTGAGTAGGCTTCATTTACACAAGCAACTTACACAAGCAACATCGTTAATGTATAGTCGAAGTAATCTTATTGTACCTAATTGAACGTGTCGGCTTTCTCATAAGCCAAAAAACTAATACAGAGAAATAAAGCCGCTGCCAACTAGTCCACGTGGACTGAAGAATAGGCGGTTTGTATTGGATAATTTTTACTAACCGATTTTTATGATTGGCTGAAAAGTCATAAAATTAAATTTGAAATCATGTCAAGGTGATCGCGATTTGAGTGTTGAAATTCAATTGGTGCAGTTATAATTACTTAAAAATTTTGTTATCTGTTTAAAATGTGGCGTCCTTGGACGCCACATTGTAGTGATTCCAATAGCGATGGTGAACAATGCGAAAAAAAGATACCAGTGAATAAGATTCGGATACATTTGAATATTGAAACACGTGAGCTGTTGTGAATTGGATAAATAAACTAGAATTTGGATTAAAAATGATAAACAAACGTCAAACAATTATGGAAAGCAGAAGAATAGTGGAATTGCGTAACAAATACTTAGAACAAATAACTAAATATAGACAAGAACAACGGAACATTTTCTATTTGGACGAAACTTGGTATTACACTCACGACACAGTTACGAAAGGATGGACTGATGGTACGAGAATGTGTATGCAAATGCAAATGCAAATGCCTGCAAACAAAGGATCGCGACCAATCATTGTGCATTGCGGAGGAAGTAAAGCATAGGTTCCGAATTCTTTGAAATTATGTGGAAGAGAACTGGAGGACTGCAATATTGACTATCATGAGAACATGAAAGCTAATATTTTTGATGAATGGTTTGAACACACATTGATTTCAAATTTGGATACGTATATTGTAATAGTTCTTGACAACGCTTCCTATCATTCGCGAAAGCTCATAAAGTACTGAATAAAAATTCGAGAAAAGATGAAATACAAAGTTTTTTAATGGATAACAATTTGTATTTTGAAAATAACTATACCAAAAACCAATTACTTGAAGTTTCACAGACAAAAACATCAGGGTCTCTCAGTCAAAAAATCAAAAAAATCAAAAATCAAACTCTGCTTTACTTTGCCAAGCTTTCGCTTCTAATGGGAAACTTTTTCAGGGCAGTAAAAATGAGTGAAAAGCAATAAATTGTAGATATAAATTGACGTAAAAGTTAACATGTATACGATTTTTTTGTGAGTTTGACAAATGTCATACCTTCATCGTAGGCAAATGGGTAATTTAACGATTCATCATTGACTACATTGTATCTCGTCAAAAGTCGTCTCAATTTCGATAAACCTAAACTCACGTCAGACAAGTTAATAGCAGACAACAAGTGATGTTACATATAGGGTACGGTATTGCTTCGAGCAAGTCAGACTGTACTCCCCGACGAAGCACCTATTATATTAGGTAATATGAGGCACACTGGTCAAATGCGCCTGATTGAGGAAGCAATGACCATAAGCAGAAGAAGGAGTACTCTGAACATAACCCAAAATTTATAACAAGAAATGTAGGCATTCATTTGATATTTCGATTATTATATAGTAAGATTTTGATTTATTTCAAAGAAAAATGGAAGTACCCGACTTCGATTTATCAACCAATTTTGGAACATGTTCCTCCTACTCAAGCTTTTACAAAAACAATGGCTTCCTAAAACTTTCTCAAAAACAGAGGAGACAAGCTTTCCTCGAAAATCAAAAGGAAAGACGGCATCAGTTGACCGACAAAAACCGGGAACAATGTGAAGAGTTCATCAAACTTTTGAAAACCTCTATTGAAGATGACCTAATGGAATGTGATAGTTCTGGTTACTCGACCAGAGTTAAAATGAAAAAGTTCCAACTTATGTTGTCAGAATGGTTGACTGAAATTCCTGAAGATCTTGACGAAAATTGGATCGTTAAATTTGCACCTGAAGGCTTTAGAGTTCTGCTCGTGGCACACAGCCGCAATACTCTTTGTTACAATAAAAACGGAAGAGTTGTCTTAAAATTGAGGAGTAATTTTCCAGGCGGGAGAAATACAGAAGGTAAAGGACTCACTGTTCTGGATTGTATTTACAATAAAACCCTCAAAACAATCTTTGTGTTGGATTGCTTGTTTTGGAATGCAATGTCACTACTGGAGGCTGAAGTAAATTTCCGCTTCTTTTGGTTGAAGTCAAAGTTTGAAGATAATCCTGAATTGGTACTTTGTAGCAGATATAAATTTGTTCTATTAGAAAGTATCCCAGCTCAAAGGCCTCTAATTCAAGACAGAATGTTCAGTCCCTTTCTAGTAGGAGATCAGCGGTTATACATTGACGGTGTTGTTTTCTATCATAAGGAATCTCATTATGTTTTTGGATCTACCCCGCTTGTAGCCTGGTTAGCATCTTATATGCTACCAGAAATGTTGAATATTGATGTTCCTTGTGAAGATATGGCAAGAAAACCTAAAGGTTATATTTGTCAACAGAGTTACCTTATTGAACTCAAATCAAAAAGAAAAAAGAAGACAGGCATGGATATACTCGATGCTGAAATGGAACTGCAGTAAATTTACAAAATGTTTATATTTTATACCATTGTGAGCTTGAAAAGTATGTTTTTATTTATAAAAATAATGTACACAGAATTATGGAGAACCTTTTTAAATAAAACACACTTGAGAGTTTGTTACGAAAGTAACAAGTGACCTTGAGGAAAAACAGTACATTTCAAATAAAATTCATCAGCTATCCTGCACACAACTGATCTAAGAGGCCCTGAAATTGAGTACAAAAAAGTTTTCGGATTGTTACCTGCACATGTCAAAATTGGACCAGTTAAAAGTATTTCAATTATATGTATATGAATGAAAACATCAATACCATCCACCTTACAGCCCTGATTTGATGCTTACTAAATTCGTTCTCAAAAATCAACCTGTACACATATTCTTTTATTATCAACTGATAAACTTATCAATATAACCAGAATTGAAACTAACTGTTCCTGTAATTAAGGATTTCAAGTTTCAGAAATGACTGATGATGTATTATTGATGTTTTGCAGATATTGAACTTAAAAATACCAATTAAAATTAAGTGAACATGTACAAGCGTGTATCAATTTTCACAGAATATTACCTGTTTTACAAAACCCTTTTATAACTTGTATGAACGCGTTAGGAGGAAACATTTACAAACGCGTTTTTTGTTGTTTCAGTAATTTACAGTGATTTTTCATAATTAAATACAACACAAGAACTGCTCCTTTCGACGCGCGTTTTTCCAACCGAATTGGTGTCATCAGGAGATGAACTGGACTAATAGCACACTTCCTAATACTAAAACCTAAGAGTTCAAGTTTTGTGTAAGGGCTAGAGTAGGTGTTGGAAGGGAAATGAAGTAAGACTGACGTGTATTATAAGTTGAGGTTGTTTTAAATTAATTTTTATAAAACCATAAAAGCAACAGCGAATGAACCAAACACAATATCATTTTCCGACAGTTTATTATAACTAATCCGATGTTCGTGGTACCGTCAAATCCTTCGATACTACAGCACTGAAAGCGTTGGATGAGAATCTCATCCAAAGAGCGGTTGAAGGTCCCCGGCAACTCGGGCGGATCACCTTGTAAGAGAGCCTGCTGGTTGTATTTATTCAACTGTGGTTCAATCATAATAAATCGATGAGAGCATATATGGAAACTTTCTGTCACTTAACAAAAACTAAGAGCTAATTATGCTTAGAAAATTGGTCAACATTCAACTGAGAACTGCCAAAGAATTAAGTTATCAGAGTAATCTCTTCGTAACTACTTAGGTCAAAACGAAAATGAGCGTGCGTCACATTTAAATATTTATAGCTGTTATTGATCTGAAAAATGTCAAAACGATTATTTCAAATTTGTACTTATTATAATGGAAAAAATAAATGGAAGAGTGTTAAACATTTTTTGTTTAAATGGAATTATTTCCATTATTTTTGTTTTGAGTGTCATCGGTATGGCATTTTCAGTATTGTAGTAAAATATAAAATGAATAATAATTACGGTTATGTTGACATGTGCATAAATGGGACATTTTTCTTAGGTATAGTTTCAATTACTAGTTATTGGGTATAGGTATAGTTCTTAGGTATTGTTATATAAATCCCCTATAATACCTAACTCTAACTTTCCCTATTTACATCTAACCGGGTTCACTTTCTGATTTCTGGGGTACCACCTGTATTTCCATCAGATTATAAGTTTAATTGAGTTGGTTGTATTGAAATTTTTAACACTCTAGTTTTTGTGGTGAATTTTTAATTTAACAAAACATAACTTATAAGCAATACTACATAAATTATTGTCTATAATGAATTATAAGATTAATTTGTGGAATTGCCATGCCATAATGCATGCGCGGAATATGAAAGCATTAAGCTCTTGACGTAGGCTGGATTTAGATTTCCACAACTCCGATCTCCGATAAAATGAAACTTTCTTGATTGGCGTTAATGCAACTATTTAATCGATGGGAAAGACACATCCGAATAATTTAACTTTTTTCCGATGACTGAAGACGAGATATATTGCCCAATGTTAGGATCAGTTTTCTGATTCGTGTACGTACTGAAATTATTATTAGCGGGAACCAACTGATTAAATTATTACTGTTTTTCGAAGATGAAAAAGGTTAATGACAAACTTCATAAAATCTACTGACAGAATACAAATATACGGAATATTTTATTATTTTCTGGCAAGAATATATGAATATTCCATTTTTTTCTCAATAGATATTGTTTCATTCATAGAAAATATATAAATCATTAATATCTATAATTAGAACTTAATTGGCCACGTTACATATCCATACAATACATTTGTAGCAAGTCAATGTTCCACCTTTCGGAACAAGAATTGAAGTAGTAAGTACCTATACAATTTAAATAGAAAGAACAATGCTTCCACTGTAAATAGGAGCATTACACAAACACATGAATATACATATACCTCCATAGGATCATCCTACACGACAAATAGTAAAAAAAATACCTATAATACAAGTGTATAAAATTGTTAAAAATCACACTGAACCTCAAAATCAAATGGAGTTGTCGTTCCAAAGAGCTTTGAGAAATTCATTCATGGAATAAAAACAATATTTTAATAATAGCACACTTTGCATTTTCTCTTAAATAATCCTAGAGGAAGTTGTTTCAAACTAGTTGGTAACTTGTTGTATAACTGCAGTTTAGGTGAGTTATTCCTGAACACGTCAAGTCGATAAAAAAGGTATTTTGAACAAATTCGCTGATCTCGTATTATGATTAAAGGATTCAAATACCTTCGAATAACAATGTCTGTTTTTGTTAATATCTATCACGGCATAATAGACAAGTGGGCAAGGTAGAGGCAAGATGCCATATTTCTCGAAAATTGGCTTGCAGTGAGCATTGAGGTCCGCGCCAACGATTATTCTCATTGTTTATTTCGGTAGAACGAATATTTTCAGAGCATAGCTTGAGTTCCCCCACAGAAGACATAAGTGATCTGAGAATGTATCAATGGAGTACTACGCAGAATGTTAAAGGTTAACAACCTTTTTTAGTTATCGCATTAGGTAAATATAGCTCGATACTTTCTTACTGAGTTGTTTTATGTGCCTGGACCAGTTCAGTTTATCATTCAAAAAAACAATTCCAAGCAATGTGACCTCATTACAAAAAACAATCAATACCGAATCTTTCCATATTCTAAAAAGGAGAAAAAATGGTGACTCTGAGAATATGGGATAAAAACAATTTTAATAATAGCACTTTGCATTTTCTCTTGAATAATCCTAGAGGAAGTTGTTTCAAACTAGTTGGGAACTTGTTGTATAACTGCAGTTTAGGTGAGTTATTCCTGAACACGTCAAGTCGCGGCATAATAGACAAGCGGGCAAAGTAGAGGCAAGATGCCATATTTCTCGAAAATTGGCTAGCAGTGAGTATCGAAGTCCGCGCTAACGATTATTCTCATTGTTTTTTTCGGTAGAACGAATATTTTCAGAGCATAGCTTGAGTTCCCCCACAGAAGACATAAGTGATCTGAGAATGTATCAATGTTACGCAGAATGCAGAATGTTAATGTTAACAACCTTTTTTAGTTGTCGCATTAGATAAATATAGCTCGATACTTTATTACTGAGTTGTTCTATGTGCCTGGACCAGTTCAGTTTATCATTCAAAACAATTCCAAGCAATGTGACCTCATTACAAAAAAAAATCAATACCGAATCTTTCCATATTCTAAAAAGGAGACAAAATGGTGACTCTGAGAAAATTACTTCTCAAAAAATAACAAAGGTAGATTTTTACAAATCTTTGCAGACTCCATGATGGTGAAAAATATTATGAATATTCAAGGATGCCTAGCGATTGTTTCAAAAGATTTTCCAACATGATAGCTTTTTCTTTCAAAAGACGCATCTCACTCAAATGCCTTTTTCAGCAGGAGAAATATTAGCTTTTACTTTACATTTCATCGAGTTGATGATTTTTTTTATTTCATTTATGAGGTACTTGGGAAGTAATGAAAGTATGCTGGTATTCATATTCTATATGCTTTTGGTGAAGAAACAAAGGAACATGTAGTTTGAAATGTTTTGAGTAACATATGGAGAATTGATATGTGTTAATAAACTATAAATTGTAATTGAATGAATCCAATTGAGTGTAACGATTCTGAATTTATACTCGAGTGGAAGTTAGTTTTTTGTAAAATACTACAACAATTTTCTGCAATCAAAACAGATATCTGATTGCAAAACATAATAATCATCCTCCATTATCTCAATTTGAAAAATCAGACAATGTTTAGTATAACATTGATTAATTCAATAAATTCAATTCGATTTCAGAGAAATAACAATACAATTTTCAAAATTACAGTTTTTTTAGTACTTCTATAGCACTAGTACGTAATGTTCCCTCTTTGATTTGTATAAGAAGATGTATCCGATATCATTCGTGCTTATGTAAATCTTTAATTTTACTTTGAGAACACGATATCAATTTGTATGTCTGATGACGGAGCTCTGAGAATCCAGCCTTGTAGTCTCAGAGTAATATTTTTTATTACTCTGAGCTTATTGTATTCGAAACCGTAGACACAAAAAAATAGTGTTCTGTGAAAATGTAAAAAGTGATTAAGCGAGACGGCTACTATCTCTAACTATTTTAGGAAATGTGTAAGGTTAGGTTAGTGTTTCTAGTGTTTCATCATTTTCATTTCAATAAAACACAAGGGCTGTTCAAGTGGATTTTACTCGTCAATCGACATTGAAAATGATAGAAACTAAAGTTTTAGATAATTCTGAAAAACCAGAAAGTAAAAAGGCTTCTAAAAAGGAAGCTAAGAAGGCAGAAAAAGCTGCAAAGAAGGCTGAACACAGACAAACTTCTGCTCAAAATCAACCTGATGTTGTCATTGAAGGTATGATAAAGATCTCTTGTTAAAAGTCTTAAGTAATTCTTGACCCATTGAACATCGTATTCTTTAGGTGATGTGTCAGAAGGAAAATATGGTATACTACCCTTAATTCGCTCTGATATCAATGCTGCAAAGAGAAGCTTCTCCTACATCAAAGATTTAAACAAATCTTGTACTGGTCAGGTGGTATGGGTTCGGGCGAGACTGCACACCGTGCGAGCTAGAGGAAAGCAGTGTTTCATTGTTCTAAGACAGCAAGAATTCACTGTTCAAGTTATTTTAAATGTATCTGAAACAATTTCGAAGTCTATGGTCAAATTTTCCAGCGGGTAAAAGTTAATTTCATTATTCGATGCATTTAATTAAACGAAATCTTTTCAGCATACCAAAAGAGAGTATAGTTGATGTAGAATCCACTGTTGCAGAGGTATCTGCTGGCGTAGCTGGTTGTAGCCAACGCGACATTGAATTAGTAGCTTCACAATTGTGGGTCGTATCTTCATCTGCCCCACAGCTTCCTTTGCAGATAGAAGATGCAAGCAGGCCTGAGAAAGCTGATGTAAGTAGTCATAGAATTATTGTACCTGTTACCAGGTACTTCATTCAAGTGAAACTTTATTGATCTGATAGAATACTAAAAGTTTATGAGGGGGTTAAACAACAATATAAACATTTTTTCAATTTATATTACTTAATTTTCTGCTTTTGATTCTCAACACAGATTACTGACACCTGTTTTTGTATAATTATTCTCAGGATGAAGGACTCAACATACGTGTTAATCAAGACACCCGATTGGATAACAGAATTCTGGATTTGCGTACTCCGACCAATCAGGCTATCTATCGATTGGAAGCTGGAGTATGTCGTCTTTTCCGTGATTGTCTGACTCGACGAGGATTTGTGGAGATCCACACTCCAAAAATAATATCAGCTGCCTCAGAAGGGGGTGCTAATGTCTTCACCGTGAGCTATTTCAAAAGTGAGAATTTGTTTTCTAAATATCTTAAAAATCTTTTGGTAATTTTGTAACTTGTATATCTCTGTCACCGATTACAAATCTGAACTGGTAATTCATTACCGAAATGATAATAATTTATAATTTCTATACGTGAATAAGGTCCTCTATTACAATTTTCATATTTTTTCAGTTTGTGAAAGTTGAAAGTACCCAAAAAAGTTCTAATATAAACGTGAAAATATAAACGTGAAATGAAATTTCAATAAAACTAATAAAACAATCAAGATTCTGATTCTACCTGGGCTGAAAAGTCTCGACCTTAACCCATAGATGGCGCTAGTCTCATTGCATTCACCGCTTTTTCAGTTAGTACTAACCTTCAAAAGAAAGCTATTGAAATTTCATGATATTCTACTTGTAAGTTTGTGAGTTATTGTGCTAAGAGTGACACTACTTTTATCATTTTCAAAACAATGGACTAAAAACAATTTCGTGTTTTAATTTTACACTGGTTCTTGATAGAAAAAAAAACTGTTCGAACGAAGCAATGGCTTGAAAATTTGTTATAAAGACTCTGCTCCATCAGAAACAACAATTAAACGTTGGTTTGCTGACTTAGAACGTGGTCGTTGACACACCGATGATGCAGAATGCAGTGGACTTCCAAATGAGGCAGTAACACCAAAAAACATAAAAAAAATCTTCATAATCGTTTTGAATTATCGAAAAATGAAGTTTTGTTAGTTAGCTAACATTGTTAGGATATCAAAAGAACGTGTTGGCTTTATATTGCATGAACATTTGACTTTGAGAAAGCTCTGTTCAAAGTGGGTGCTCACTGTTGACAAAAACAAGAACATTTTGATGATTCTGAGTAGTATTTGGCCATGTTTGTGAATGTGAATGAAACATGGACCCATCACTTACAAGCAACATCTGATACTTCTGTGGTTTCTACGATGGTTATTCAACTGTATGTATTACTTTAGTTGATACTTTTTGTGATTTGAATCTTAATAAACAATATTATTATTATTATCACTTCACTCCAGAATCAAAACGAGCGTCATCTGCATCATTGCGATGAATTGAACTTCGAATTGCTCCCATATCCACCGTATTCGCCAGATTTGGTTCCCAGCAACTACTGGCTGTTGGCAGATCTCAAAAAAATGTTCACTGGTAAAAAATTTTGCTATAATGAAGAGGTTATTGCTGAAACTGAGGCCTATTTTGAGGCAAAAGATAAATCGTTCTACAAAGTTCTATTGAAATATTAGAGCGGCGCTGGAATTATTGTGTGGCTCTTGATGGATGTTATGTTGATGTATAAAGCCAATTTTGAACAAAAAAAAAAGGGTTTTCTTTCTCCGGCCTGTGTGTTAGTTGTAAAAAGGAACAAAAATAAAAATAAGCAAAAAATTTGAAATTAGTAGTGAAATTTTAGTAACTAGTAAACTTCTAGTAACTATAGAAACATAAGAAAAATCGAAATAATACATGCCCACACTTACAACATGAGTACAGCTCTCTCCGGAAAGAGATCAAAGTCCAAACTAGGCTTGAGTATCTGAATTATCAGCGTTTTGTAGAGGATAATGCTAGTATAGATTCTAGCAGTTTTTGGTCTTTTATTAAGTCTAAAAATAAGCAAAGTGGCATTCCTCAGGTAATGCATTATGAGAATATGCCAAAAATAGAGCCAAAGGGTATAGCAGATGCCTTTGCACAATATTTTAGTTCAGTCTATGAGNACTTTTTCTCACAGCCGGATTAATTTCTAGGTATTGGGTAACTTAATTTATAGGTACTTGTATACATTTTAAAAATTGTGATAATTTATTTGATTTCTTTTTTGTTTCCTTTTATATTTACTGTTTTGTTTTATTTTAGTTAGTAGTTCTTAAGCTTATTTTGTTATTGTAGTTTTATCTCTATTACTTTTAATTACAATTCAATATTGTGTTTGTAGGAGTAAAAAGTGAATAAATAAATAAATAATTAACCACTTTCAAACATACCCAAAGAAGGTTGATAAAATAACTCTGATTTCCTCCACAAAAAATGAATTTCGTTTAATCCTGTTTTAGATTCTGCATATTTAGCCCAAAGTCCTCAGCTCTACAAACAGATGGCTATCGCTGCTGATTTTGAAAAGGTGTTCACAATAGGTGCAGTATTTCGTGCTGAAGATTCCAATACCCACAGACATCTAACAGAATTCACTGGTTTGGATTTGGAAATGGCTTTCAACTATCACTACCACGAAGTGATGCTCACAATTGGAAATCTTTTCACAGAGATTTTCAAAGGTTTGAGAGACCAGTAAGTGTTCAGTTACCAGTTATTCACCCAAACTCTCTCATTTAAGAATCAGAATGTTTCATTATGTTAAGAACCATTTCTTGTTGTTAGAAGTCTTTACATGAAGATAAACTATAAAATATGTTGTTTCGAAAGTTTTGACAGTTTTAATGTTGTGTTTTTGTAGCTACATATCTCAATAAATACTCATTCTACTATGTCGTGGTATGTACTGGTTGATAGGGAATTTTGTACATTGATGCTGTTCATTTTTTCCAAATTTAAATTTTTTGCCTTATTCATTACTATATGATGTTGTTAAGCAATTCAAAATCAAATTAAAATATACTTTATTGTCCGAAGATTTGCATCTTATTGAAAAAGTCCAAGAAATACAATGTTAATATAGAAACAGTACTAAAAAAGTATAAATGTAGATGTAAAAAAGTTCCAAAAATGTATGAATGTAAATATAAAATTTTATTGGCAGTGAACAAGTCCCTGCACTATTTTCTGGGTTTGACTTTACAGAGACATCTGAGTGCCCTCTTCTGTAATATCAATACATAAGAGAGGGATGAGTTGCATGCTCCCCAAAAAGGTATTCCATAACGTAGTCGAGATTCAATAAGTGCATGGTAAACGGTCTTTGCGATATAAAAACCCAACTCATTTGAAACTACTCTAACTGCATAACATCTGGAGGAGATCTTACTCTTGAGTTGTTCAAGGTGTTCATCAAATTTCAGCCTATTATCAATGAATACACCGAGAATTTTTGTGTTTAATTTATTTTGTAATATGGCAGCGTCTATTGAAATTTTTTAGCCAATTTTTCTCTATGAATTCAAATTGAACCAAAGCGCTGCCGAAACAGTCCAAAAAATTGTCCAGGGATATGGCAAAAAAGTGTTAATGAACACACTGTTTGACATTGGTTTGCGAAATTTTGTTTAGGAGATTTAGGTTTCGAAAATATGAGCCCCAAAGTGATCGACTTAGAGTAATCCAGGACGAGGATTTTATGACTCTGGTGGAGACTGACCCATTACAAACAGTGCATGGGATGGCGAACCAATTGGGTGTTAGCTCCCATGCGTTTTATGATAGTTTAAAATGTATTGGAAAGGTCAAAGAGCAGAGCTCGAAAAGTGGGTGCCGCATGATTTGAATGATCGACAGAAATCGTCACGGTACGGGGTCTGTTATTCTTTACTTTTGCGTAACCAAGACGATCTTTTTTTGGTTGGATCACTATGTGTGATGAAAAGTGGATCCTGTATGATAACAGGAGATGTTCATGACATTGTTTGAACACCGATGAGCCACCCAGGAACTCCCCAAAGGCAAAAACCCACCAAAATAGACCATGACTAGTATATGGTGGTCAGCTTCTGGTATGATTCACTATAACTTTCTGTAGCCAGGCCAAACTATCACAGCAGAGTTCTATTGTGAGGAAATCGACGAAATGTACCGGAAATTGGGACAGCAGCTGGTACTGGTCAACAGAAGACGTCCAACCCTGCTCCACGACAACGCCCGTCCGCACGTTTCACAAATCACTCCGAAAATTAAACAAATTGAGCATCTAAGGTCTGCGTCACCCACCATACTCCCCAGACCTATCGTCAACAGACTACCATCTCTTCAAGCACTTCGATAACTTTTTCACAAGTAGAACCTTCGCCAATCAGGACCAGGCAAAAACGGCCTTTGATAACTTCATCAAATTCTGAGCACACAATGTTTATGCTGACGGAATTAGTCAACTTGTTTTACATTGGCAAAAGTGCACTGATTCAAATGAAGCTTAATTTGATTAAATTAAACAGAGATATTACAGTTTAAAGTACAGTTAACTTGCGATGGTCCGACACTACGAGACCGCGGGAGTATCGGATTACCAAAAATGTCGGATTACCAAGGATTGGCTCTATTTAATTGAATTTGCAGTGTATAAGTTTGGAAATCTAGAGTTAACGATGAATTTTTATTCAATATTTGACTAGAAAAGTTTCAAAATATGTAATGAAGTCAGGCTTTAGTTTTTACAAAAGAAGAGAATTTTATTTAATATTAAAATCATAACACAACATGAAACGGTTTTACAGGTAAGACCTACTAGACTAGACCGATGACTCATACGGCGCAGCGTCAGACTACCGAGCGTGTCGGACTATCGCAAGTCAACTGTATACTCATAAAAATGGTCAAAACTTTTGAAACAAAATAATATTACACATCTAGGCTTCTTATTCATTTGTTCTCTCTCACTTCTCACGTAACACCGACAATTCACCTACTCCTTTTATATAATATTTGTTAAGAGTGGTTTCCCGCAAATTTCAGATATCAACACGAGATCTCTCTTGTCAACCAACAATACCCCGCCGAACCTTTCACGTTTTTGGACCCTCCTCTCGTTCTGCAGTTTGATCAGGCACGGAAAATTCTTGCCGATGCCGGTGTGGAAGTGGGACAAGAAGAAGACTTGAGCACGCCGACTGAAAAATTGCTCGGTCGTCTCGTAAAGGCCAAATACGATACAGATTTTTATATCTTGGATAAATATCCCTTGGCGGTGAGGCCGTTTTACACCATGCCCGATCCGCAGAACCCCCTATCTTCGAATTCCTACGATATGTTTATGAGAGGAGAGGAAATTCTGAGTGGCGCTCAAAGGATCCACGATCCAGATTTTCTCACGGAAAGAGCGAAACATCATGGAATAGGTGAGTAGAAGGGAAAGTGTGTGGTTGCACAACAGATGGTACTGCAAGAATTAGTTATTCCTCTATTTTTATCAAAGATATATTGATTATAATGGGAACTAATGCGACTATTTTTTTTAAAATCCGTATTGCTGATCATATAATAATTTGAGAATAATCATTGAATATAAATGGTCAGACCACATACTCAGGCACTACAATATCTAACATGCTTTTTCACTGGTCACTGTCATTTGAATCATCATATGCAGAGACTCGGACTGTCGCAAGACAGTGTGTGTCGCCTCTGTTTGAAAAATGATGAAACAGCAGAGCATATACTTCGTGCCTGCCACGTTGGGGACCGAATCAGGTTTTCAGAGTTTGGCAGAACCGTACTCTTACCATCTGACCTGAAAGACCACTCACCATATAAACTAATGGACTTCGTTAAGAAGCTAGGTTTATTTGGTCGAGTGTGAATAAGTGTGAGCCACAATAAACCCTTGCTGGTTGCGGTGGAGGGTCAAATCGACCCACTCACTTTTGACCTAACCTAACATCCTCAGGCGTTACTATCTAGTGACGCCTGAGGATGCTATCATAAAGAGAAACACGTGTCGCGGTTTTGTGAACTTCCAAGTGAAAATATCACATTAAACTGTGTTTTTTGAACATTGGTGTACTTGGGATATATGTAGTCCTTGAACAGGACCCAATATATTCATTGAAATTTAGTGCAACCCTTCTAATTCCACATGAAAATTGTCAATTTTGAAGCAATTTAGATATGCTGTGAATAGAGAAATAATGAAGAGTAAACAGGTTCATTCATTATATTTAAATCTAAGACAAAAAAAAATGATATTTTTTCCCAAATCCATGTGTTTTTGCAGATATAACCAAAATTGCTGCTTACATTGAATCGTTCAAATATGGATGCCCTCCCCATGCTGGAGGCGGTATTGGACTGGAAAGGGTTGTTATGCTCTACCTTGGCCTTGACAACATCAGGAAAACTTCAATGTTCCCCCGTGATCCTAAGCGAGTCACGCCATAAAGTTGTAGGAACTGATAAGAAATAAAAATCTTATGACTTTTAATTTGTTTTTAATTCTCAAAAATTCCAGTGCTACTAGAAAGTGCGTCCTTTACACAGATATTAGGGGACATATTCTTATTCCTTGCATTGGGAAAGTGCACTCGAACTTTAAAGTTATAACCTAAAGCCGCATCCCCACTATGCCGAGCGGCCAGGCCACGCGGCAAAGCCGACTGGCTTGGCCGAATGGCATAGTGAATTTGCTTGTCGTCGGCTTTTGGATTCGGCACGAGCTGTTAGTCATTGTTACTGTCACTACCACAACCAGATTTTACACTTTTTTCTCCTTTTTTCAGTTCTCGCGAAAAATGACTTGAAAGATTTTTGAGCTTTCTTTCAATCTCCACTTTTTCAACGCCAAACAACAACGCAATTTTGTTTAAAGCATCGTTCCGCTCATTGCGATTTTTATAATCGGGTAAAATACAGTCCCACAAAATGGAAGCATCGCGATATGCATCGAGTAGCTCCAAAACCTTATTATTTGACCACTTCATAGTTCAGCACGTGGTAATCCTCGCACGACCTCAGCCATAGGTAAAAATTGTTACCTATGCATAGGTAACAATTGTTACCTATGCTGCCAATTGTTACCACAGTATAGGTAACAATTGTTACCTATGCTGCCAATTGTTAGCACAGCATAGGTAACAATTGTTACCTATGCTGCCAATTGTTAGCACAGCATAGGTAACAATTGTTACCTATGCTGTGCTGAGACGCAGATGAGGGAAGTAGTGCTGCGGTCTGCCGCTCGGCACGTCCCCACTCCAGCGTGCCGATCGGCTTTCTTTGATCAGACCGACAACCAGTTGGTTCGGGATCGGCACGCGGCATGGCCGCTCGGCACACAGCGGCACAAGCCGACGATGCGTCCACACTTGTCAGTCGGCAATGCCGATCCGTGCCGCTCGGCATAGTGGGGATGCGGCTTTAGATAACTGTAAATAATCCCTTTGTAAATATCGAAATAATTAACCTCAAATTGAGAAGAAATTACCACAGTGATAAGTTTGAAGAAAAAATCCACAATGATGAATAAATGGAACACATTAACATTAAAAAAAATGAGCAACATAAGTAATCCAGGGCACTATTGTTCATATAACACATTTACTTTTCACTAAGGAAAACCCAATAAACTTAGTCTACCCTGATCAAGTTATTCTGCTGCTAGTATAAATGGATGAGTAATCTCATGTTTCAGAGACTATCTGAATGGAAGAACTCAATATGTGGTTGTGGTAGAGTCTTCTAGCCCTTTGGCTGATATATTATGCAGACTTACACAGGGCTCGGTTCAATGCTGTTTCAAATTTGCCCGATTCGAGTGAAATACTATAGCTCTAATTATCATGAAACCTGCCTGATTCATTATTGTTTAAACATAGAACACTATCACCCTCAAAGGTTACTTCAAAGTTTCGGAATAAGACACTTGCCTACTTACCTCAAGACTTTTTTAGATAATATTACAAGATAAAGCACAAGTCCGATATATCTAAGACTAACTGTTACAATATTTCCTTTATCCATTTTTCTAAATTCAGTAACCTCTTTCTCTCTATTATTTTGGGAATTACTGCAATGTTTGAATTATTGTATTTTTGTATATTATTTTTCTATTTGAATAAATGATCCATATTGCCATAGGCTCTGGGCCGAGAATAGCTTGGCCTTAAACTGTAATTTGCACATTCAAAAATTCATGCACACTTGATTAGCAGGTAACAATTTGGAAGTGACAATTATCAATTATAAGTTGAATTCCCCACTTTCCAGTGAATACGTTTATGCAAATAAGTTAATTATCGAATCACAAGTGGCGAGTAGAAGTTAGCCACCTTTTAACTTTCTTATTTCAATCATACCGAATCCACATTTTTACTAATGAGAAACTAGTGTGCTATAATCGCTAATTGGCCCATTTCAGAACTCAGAAAGTAGAAATGGGGAATAACCGGGACTTCTCCGATCGCGACAGAACCTATTGTGCCGATAACGACCGCCGTCAAAGGTCGAAGTGGAGTCCAAAAGGGAATTATTCTGAAATAAAGTCAAATTTTAATGAATATTGAAGTGAAAGACGTATTGAAAGAACTGGCGGCCCCCTACGCCAGTAACAGGCTGGATGTCGACGAGGTCGTCAGTTCAATAATAAATACGAACATGTATTCAGTGGTTTTGTCGATTTTTGTTATTTTTATCCGAAGACCTCCCGAAAAGGAGGCGACCAGTAAAAATTAAGTGTTTTTTTTTAATGAAAAGTGAATGAAAAACTTAAGATGGCAGCATTGCTTCGTGCAAGACCGTTGCGCCTCCGGAAGAAGCTACTCACTATGGACAAGAGGAGCTTGAATGAGAAGCAAGGGCCATAGAAATTAGAGGGAATGAGAGACAGAAAGGGGGATAACCTAACTTAATAATTTTCAAATTTCAGAACATCGTAGGCTGTGTTTTGTTTAATTTCATCATTTCTGAAATGATTTGTTTCCATGATCACTAATATAGAAATTGTGTCTTGTTGAAAACTTTACATTGATGAATATATAATAATTGATATTTGTGAGTTTCTTAAAAACTTGAGTGGTTGCATATTATTTCATTTAATTGGGAATACAAATATAAATGCCATTGGTTTTGTTACTTGCTTCTGTCTAATTGATAATATTAATGATTTAACTCTGTTTTTGTCTGAAATGGTAAAACAAAACACTTGGGATTGGTATTGTAAGAGGAGAGTAGGAGAATATCCAATTACACTTTTCAGGAAACGTGCAAGCCAAAATCTTTATCACAATTTCAACACAAAACATACACCAAGTTATAGGCAAAGATTGTGTATGTGATGAGGCTTTTATGAAATATACATATAACTTGTAGTATTTGTACCAGACAGTTCAGAATTTTTTATAAGGAATGTTGACTACATTATGTGTTTGCATCATTTTAATTTGTTTTTTACTAGAGATTTTAGCATCTAGAATTTCATCAATTAAAAGGAGGCTGTTGTAAGTGCTCATACTGAACATTACTCTATGGACCAATTGAGATAATTGAAAATACCCTATTCTTTCTAAATTTCATACGATTGGAAGTTAGGGAAAGAAATTACCGAAATTTTATTTGTATAATTTAATCTACATAAAATTGAATTGGATGTTTATTGTTGGTGTTTGATGTTTTTAACCTGTGATAGTGCTTGAACTGATATATGTTATATAATGTTTCATAGCCGAATGTGGCTATATGTTGTCATAATTTCAATCTACAAAATCCTCTCGAAGTGATTTTCTCAAAGAAATAAACGAATCATTTTGAGTGTTTGTTGAAATTTTAATATCTCCACTCCCTATTTGTTAAGTACTTTTACCTTATTGTCTAATTATTTATACTGGTTCATCTGAGAACTAGAGTGGAATAATTACACAGAACTAAAAGATATTCTATGACTGAAGACAGCATTACATTGACAATCGACAGTTTGGTTGGTAGACAGGTGACAGGTACACGGACAATGACGTCACTGGATAGGTACTAGTACGAAGCAAATAAATAGAGGCATTATTTTTAAAGCTAAATAGTAATCAAGATATTGTTGTAAATGGTACGTTCTGGCAAGCCGTTCGTCTAACTATGGAATCCATAAGTGGTAATACCTTTATATAACTTTTTTTACAGATTGCACAATGAATTTTATATTTCAGAAGGTTATGATCAAGTGGATGGAAAAAGTTCTCCAGTGAGTGACAAATCTCGTTCACCATCTGTTGAGTCTAATAAATCTGCTAAGAGTATTTCACGGTCACGTTCAATAAGCCCTCAAGTGACTGATAATATTAATGGAGATGCTGAAAGTGCTGTTGGCATCAGAGCATCTAGATCTAGATCCAAGTCTGGTTCACCCCGATCAAGATCTGGCAGCCGAGCAGATTCTAAGGGTTCTAGATCAAGATCAAATTCTGGAGACTCGAACCGTTCCAGATCTAGATCTCGCTCAGGTAAAATTTTTGGAAATCTAATTTGAGGTAGTTTTACTTATTTGTATAAGTGGAAAAATTGTGAAATATGATGCAGTAGTATAGTACAAGATGATGCAGGGTAGCATCTGAACACTTCAAAACGAAGAAAACTTAAAAACATTGGGAGAAAGTGTTACTGAAATCTTTTTTCTACACGAAACAAATTTAAGGGGTCAGAAAGAGACCGTAACAAAAGCAATAAATTCAGCCTATTTCTTCATCATTCGAGGACGTTTAGAAAAATTCTCAACCTATCATGAAAGCAAACACAACTCAACAGTCACAGTATTTGAGTATTCAACATACTCCCCTATTAATCAGATACATTTATCACAGGGAACTTGCAACGCTTCTACAATTATAATTAGTTAAATCCATACGAGATCTAGGTGTAGTGGTAGAAGTCAAAATGAATTTTCACCTTCTGTAAGAACAGATATCTAGCAGAGCAAGTGTAAATGTTAGGCTTTGTATGCAAAACTACAAAAGCCTTTATCATTATCAGGAATAGTCACAAATGGGAACGACTCTAAATTTTATCTTTTCCATTTTCCAAGGTTACTCTTGGAAATAAGTTATGATATATTGATTTTCAACTCGCAAGTGTATGTTATAATTTTTTTTAACTCTGAATTGATTTTCTTGTACATATTGTAATGAAATTATTTTACTTTTTTTTAAATTCACTACATTTATATTTAATTCATAATTGAATCAGATAAGATTAGAGTAGTGTTAATAATCTGATATACTACTTGGGAATTACCTGTGTATAGGAAAATGAATTACACAATAATCAAAAAAACAAAATTCCAAAATTCCACTGATTTCTCAACCAACTGATTCAATTTCAGTCATACTAGATAGTGATACGCCCCCATACTTTTTTTAAAGAATATTATTGTACTCATTTTAACATTCAATACGATAAATTTTATGAATAAATAATAATAATGTTAAGATGTAAATAAATAAAATTAGAGCTACGACTACGAGATATACTTATGAAGATATGTTAAAATATTTTGATATCTAATACAATCCAATATCAGTCTATGTCAATCTCAATAATGTTGTTATAGCAGTTCTCTTGCATTTGAAAAGTTGTGTCCGGTCTCTCTGTTTCCTCATAGTTTCCAGGGAGGACATGCTCAGAGATTGCAGTAGCAACTCATACCCGCAACTAACACCTGATTTATGTGCTATGTATTTGAGAAAGTTGGGTCAGTGAATTCGTGGGTTAGCCGTTTGATAAAAACCCTAGCATTTTCATGGCTTTATTGATAGCCGTGGGTATATGTTGATTGAAGCTTAAGATGGGATGAAGAACCACCCTGAGGTCTTTTATTTGATTAACAGACTCCAAAACATGACCATTTAAGGTGTAATCAAAAGTGGTAGAAGATAGATAGATTGTCAAGGTCAGACTGAAGCTTGTGGACATCCAAGGAGGTTTTAATAATTAGGAAATGTTTCAAATCATGTGCAAATAGTAGTGCTTTTGTGTGCCGGAAGCAATGAATAATGTTAATGAATAAATTGAATAATAAGGGACCGAGGTGTGACCCCTGAGAACACCAGAGGTTACTTTGAATAATCTGGAGTAGCGATAATTTTTAGTAAAACTTTAAAACCCTGTTACTTAGAAACGAAGTAAGTTCGGTCACATCTGAAATTAATGACATCATTTCAGATACACCCTGTAATTATTTGAAACCTCTGGCATAAAATTAATCTATTGAAGACAGTTTATCCTCACCAGAACAAGAATGCTATCCACATATCTGTAATGTTTTTTTTCTCACTATTGTTATTGTATTCACACTATTGTATTTTATTTACAGGCTCACCAAAATCAAGAAAATCTAAATCCAGATCTCGTTCTGGATCAGCGGAACTAAACACATCGAAAGAAACTGCTAAATCCAGGTCATCTAGATCACGTTCTGGATCAGCAAAATCAAGGTCAAGGTCACGTTCAGGATCGGCAAAGGCAGCATCAAGGTCAAGATCACGTTCCAAGTCAGCAAAGTCGAGGTCTAGGTCACGTTCAGGATCAGCAAAGGCAGCATCTCGGTCGAGATCACGTTCTGGGTCAGCAAAGTCGAGGTCTAGATCACGTTCTGGGTCAGCAAAGTCGAGGTCAAGATCACGTTCTGGATCAGCAAAATCGAGGTCTAGATCACGCTCTGGATCGGCAAAGTCAAGGTCTAGATCACGTTCTGGATCAGCAAAAGCCCAATCAAGATCTAGGTCACGTTCTGGGTCCGTTAAATCAGGACCCGGGTCAAGAAAATCAAGGTCTAGGTCTCGGTCTGGTTCAGCAAAAGCTGCGTCAAGGTCTAAATCACGTTCTGGCTCCAGGAAATCCAGATCGGGTTCAAGGAAATCTAGATCAGGCTCAAGAAAGTCTAGATCGGGATCTAGGAAGTCTCGATCAGGCTCCAGGAATTCTCGATCAGGATCCAGAAAATCTAAATCTCGGTCTAGATCGAGATCACGTTCAGGATCGGCAAGAGCAGCTTCTAGGTCAAGGTCTGGTTCAAGAAAATCTAGGTCAAGAAGCGGATCAAGAAAGTCAAGATCAGGTAAGATGTTTTATTTTATGTAATTTTTGAGAAGGATTTGTGGGTGCAACTTCCTCAGTGTTTTAGGAATATGTTGATTATAAAAACCTGCTAAAATTTGTGAGCTGTATGCTTATAAAATGTTATGTATCTCACTTTAACCTAGCCCTGAAAATAATAAAAAGTATGAATTCAAGAACTTTGATCCATACTTTTTAAGAAAGACAATACTGAGGTTTATAAATAAATTATTGAAAAACCTGTCAGTTGCTCTTGAAGTTTTATATGAGAAATATTTTTGAAAATTTGTCAACAATCACATTAGATAAGAGCACACTTATAGCTGACAAAACTACAAGACAAAATTGCATCAATGGAAGAAACAATGGCAATCATATGAGATAACAAACAAAAACACTGAAGATACAGATAAAATAAGTGCAAGTGAATCACTCGAGAATGCTGAGTGAACAAAACAACATCTTCACCTTGATGGTGTGTCAGCAAATCTGTGAAACTCCAACTCATTATCAAACATAAAAATAAATTCCAAACATTAAATCTGAATAAGAACATGTGACTCATTAAACTTAAATAATTTTTATGGAAAACGAGGTGTATCCAAGAAAATTGACTGTTCGAAGCAAGAATAATTGATGATATTAATAATGCTATAATAATAATGATAATCTTTATATCAAAAATATACCGAGTAATTACAACTTGTACATGTACAACTTGTAATTACAACTCGTACATCGAATGGAATGAAGTCAAAAAAAAAACAATTTATGTGAATCTATTAGCATACAACCACCACATCTATTCAAAACTATATACAGACAGATAGACGAACCACATAATTTACTAAAATAATTTGTTTTGTGTCGACAATTCATTTAAACAAATGCGATGGCAGAAAATGTTACAGGATTATCATTGATAGAAATATTAATAGCTATTGAGCAGTTTTCACAAATCAAATTTTTATTCTATGATGAGGAAGCTGTGGTGTTAGCGAAATGTGTCTAGAATTAAAATTTCATTTGTGATAAATACATAGATATCATGGAAAGTAAAGATAATTTTTGAACAAAAAGTATGTTCAAGATGTAGGATACATCTTGAACATAACATAATTAAAACCAGTTATTTCTTCTTTGCATTGTTAAAAAGAGGTCCAGTTTAAAATCAGTATGAAATTTTGATTTAAATAATTAGTTCAATATTCAAATGTAATTGTCATTTACAGGTTCTAGAGCATCAAGATCAGGATCTCGAAGATCAGGATCACGTTCAAGGTCCGGTTCCAGGAGATCTCGATCCGGATCTAGAAGGTCTAGGTCGGGATCGGCACGGTCAAGATCCAGATCAGGCTCAAGGCGATCAAGATCAGGCTCGGCTAGATCCAGATCTGGCTCAAGAAGGTCAAGATCAGGTTCGAGGAGATCGAGATCAGGTTCAGCAAGGTCACGTTCAGGGTCGAGATCTAGATCACGATCAGGATCACGCAAATCAAGATCCGGGTCTAGAAGATCAAGATCTGGTTCCAGAAAATCGAGGTCAGGATCGAGAAGATCTGGTTCAAGAGTATCACGATCGGGTTCGAGAAAGTCAAGGTCGGGTTCGAGGAGGTCAAGATCAGGTTCGAGGAGGTCAAGATCAGGTTCGAGGAGGTCAAGATCAGGTTCGAGGAGATCAAGATCGGGTTCGAGAAGATCAAGGTCAGGCTCAAAACGGTCGCGGTCTGGTTCCGCAGTTTCAAGGAGATCTAGGTCCAGATCTCGTAGGTCAAGATCAGGTTCTCAAAGATCTGGATCTAATAGGTCCAGGAATTCACGCTCCAGGTCAAGGTCTGGTTCTCGCTCAGGAGATGAAGGTAAGGTACCGGGAATGCTTAAGAGATTTTATATGTGCATGTTTTTTGCATACGGTTTTGGCTTATTAGGTTTCATTTTCTTTCAGCTAAAAGGGGTCGTAAACGTGCTCTGCTATCAGATTCGGAAGATGAAGGGGAGTCGCAGCCAAAAGCAAAGAAGATGTTGGTCAGTGATGAGGAAGATGGTGCAGGTCCATCAGAACCACAAAACGAAACGGTTCCAGAAGAAAACGAAGCACCTCCTCCTCAAGAAGATTACGATTCCGATGAAGGAGTTGATAGGAGCGGGTGAGTACAATTTGAAAGTTTGCTGCTATAAGAATAATTGTGATTATAATTTATTAATTCTAGTCGGAGTGATAATAATGGATTATCAGATTTTGATGCTATGTTGCAAAGGAAAAGGGAAGAGGGTTCTAAAAGAAGAAAAAGAAAAGACATCGATATTATTAATGATAATGATGATATCATAGCTGGGCTACTTGGTGACATGAGAAATGCAGCAGAGGTAAGTGAATTTAATTTTTCATTATTCTATCATTCAATTCATTACTTTTTTTTCATTGATAATGAATATGCATCATTTACTTGAATCGATATTACAGGAAGACCGAAAATTGAACCAGATGATGAAACCAGCAACAAAAAAAATTGGAATGTTGGCTAAAGTGATGTCTCAACTAAAAAAGCATGATTTGCAACTGGCATTTATAGAACACAATGTGCTGAATGTTCTTACCGATTGGCTGGCACCAATGCCCGATAGATCAATGCCTTCTCTGCAAGTCAGGGAAGCTCTCTTGAAGCTATTATCAGATGTAAGTACTATAAAATTTTCAGGTCTGGGGACCTTTGTATAGGGAATGAAAAATAGGGGATGAATGGATAAAAAAACTGGGGAAACTTGCTAGAAAAACAAATACTGAATATGAGTTGGATGAAGGGAAAAAAGAGTGGTGAATGTAAATAAACAAGGGTGTAATTTGAAGGAGATGAGTAGAGTGTGAGAATCTTCCAAAGAAAGGGAGAAAGTAACTAATTTTAAAATCAACTCTTTACAAAGATGTGTAGATCATGCAAAGAACTGACTCTCAGGCACAAACTGAAAAAAAAGCACTCTCGAAACAACTACTTTCATATAAACATTGAATTACGTGAAATAAAAAATAATTTTTAAACAATCTTCTTCAGATCCAAAGTCCTCCATTTTTTTCAAATTATCTGAAAAAAGAATTAGGAATTCAGTAAAAGTTGAATTATTATATAAAACTCGGCAGTTATTGGCACATGAATTAATACTATTACCAATATCTCTTACACCGTTTTCTGCAATTTCATTTTCTTTTGTAGTTAACGTTCTTGTGTCCATCAAATTCAAATTGAATTCCATTGACAAATGTCAGTGTCAAGAGCGTTAAGAGAGAGGGATAGAGATAAAAAGAGTGGGAGAGAGAGAGAGGAATAGGAAAGGAAGATTGTAGAGAATGTTGGGAATGAGAATTGTGGGGAGAGAAATAATGGGGAATCAGGGTGATTAGAAAGCTAGTGGAAAAAGATAATGTACTTCTTGTTTTCCATTTTTTGTATGTTTGTCTTAGTTCAATGGATTTTTTTTTAGTTTCCCAGAGTCGATCAGTCAACTCTCAAACAATCAGGTATCGGAAAAGCTGTGATGTACTTGTATAAGCACCCAAAAGAAACAAAAGAGAACAGAGAGAGGGCCGGACGATTAATCAGTGAATGGGCCAGGCCTATATTCAATTTGTCTACAGATTTCAAAGGTAATTGTTTTTATTACTTGTAGTGTTTAGTAACTCTTGATGACGTTATCTAAATATACATTACAGTTCAATAAATGTAAATATTTTCAGCTTTGAGCAAAGAGGAGAGATTCCAGAGAGACTATGAGCAGAGGGGAACAAAGAGAAGGAAATCGGAAGAGCAGACAGCCCAAGAGAGAAAAGAACTCAATCAAGCCTTGAACGCCGAGGGAAAGTAAGTAGGAGGTTTTGCTGAAAATTTTTCGATCATTACATGTTTTAAATATTGACAGTAAATGGTATTCAATTTCAATTTAGTTCAATACTTTCAGTCAATATTTAGAGACATTTTTGGTTGTCAATTATATTTATTTTACTACATTTGAATTCTGTTAAAATTTGAACTCAGTTTATGTTATTGTTTCAATCAATTAATTCAAATTTTTGTTCCAGACCTCTCAGACCTGGAGAAAAAGGTTGGGTTGCCAGAGCAAGAGTTCCTGTACCCTCCAATAAGGATTACCTAAACAGGCCTAAATGGCAGTCCGAAGTTGATATTAGTAGGGTAAGTAATATATATTATACTAACTGATCTGCGAACTTCAAACCACCTTTGAATTGATAAATGTTGTGTTATCAACTGAGTTAATTACATTTTTTATAGCAGCACCAAGTATGGTCATACAAGCATGGCCAGTCTTACCAGGTCATTTTAGTGTTTAGCAGTGGGTTTTGTGTCAGAAAAACAGTAAATTGATACAAAAATTAGTAGAGAATGTATTTTATGGTAGTTTACTGTTTATAAGAAAATAAATATTCTGAAATGAAATCTTTTCCGATTTACCTACCCNAGGATGACCAGTTCAGTTTGAGGAGTGCCAGAAGATGACAGTACTACCAACTGTCGAAAGCGCTTGCAGATAATTAATAGAAGATATAACGCTTCAAATCCTTTTTGTAGAATTTAATACCTATTGGTAGGATTTTCATGTTGGTCTGAATTTTTTTTATCACTTCTGATCTGCTTGACTTGATTTGTCTCGAATTTAAAATTCACATATTACACTTTTTTCATAGAAACTTGTTTATTAATACTATCCTAAACTTGATTTTTCTTTGCAGCAAACGAAGAAGGGACTCAACAGATTTGAGAAGCATTATAAAAATTTCTTGGACGGCAAGAGGCTTAAGCAAACTAGGAGGGCTGTCGAAATATCGATAGAAGGAAGAAAATTAGCATTGTAAATAAATTGTATATTTTTCAGTGATATATTTTATTTCCTTATTGTTTTAACATTGAATGATGATGAAAACCAAATTTGAGCAACTGTTGTTATTTTAATTTGAGTTGTTATTCTTAGACCTGATGCTGATTTTAGTTTGACTTCCATATTATTTTATTGGATCTTCTTTCGATTCAGCAATGCTAAGTTATTTTGTACTGATATGTATTAAAAATAAATGTTATATAGGTATGTTATTTTTAAGAATGTATTATATTATTTGAAGCTTAGTTCAAGAAGATCTGAGATTGACGAGATCGACAATACTTTTTTTTGTTCATCACGTTTTCAGAATTCACAATCATAGAACTTCGTGGACTCAGCAAAATGAGAAACTACAATAAATTCTTTCAAAATTTCCTCCATTTTTCAATTTCAATCCAAAACATACTTCAAGTTCTTCATCATGTCAGAAATTACATGTTGAAAAGTAAGACTTCCTCAATCCTTTTTTTGCACAAGTTTTCACTTCAAAGGGTTCTCATTGAACAACTCATTACATTTCTCAGATTGAAGAGTTTTTGTATAAGGCACCTCAAAATATTTTTGCCAAAAAATACTTGTGCGACAAGAGCCGCTGAATACATATGACCTCTCATTTCTACGATTTCACGCCAACTTTAGCCGTCAATACTACCATCAAGCTATTTGTCTTTCGTTGAGTTTTCATTTTTTACTTCAACTAAACTTCAACTATTATTTGAATGTCTATCGCCTCACTAAGTCAATTCACGTACCGCACTGTAACGTCTACTTGACTGTGTTGATATGCTCGCGGCTAGCGTTTAAATATCGTAATCGATTGCCGCACAAATTTCGCCAAAGTTCCGTCGAAATCGGTAGCATTATTCTCGCTGCTTCTAGAGCGGCAGGGAACTTTGTGCATTCGCGCTCTCTTAGCTACGTCACGTTTGGTTTATGGTTACCAGTGGCGGCCGTCGTTATTTTCTTTCGGGCATGATTTACAACACTACCCCCTTCACTGAGGTTTCCGCCCCGAACAACATTCCAAGAGGGGACATCACGACCCATGTAAGGACTCGGCCTCTCTATATGGACAACTTTAAGCTTGCTTCTGGGTTACAATTGGTTTCTGTACATCAGATCGTTTATCTTTTTGGTTACCAAGTAAGGTCCTTGCCTTGGTCTCTGCAATTCGGGACACAAACCTTTCCGACGTTGGTGTTGGTAGAGCCACACCTTATCGCCCTCCTTGAAGCTCACTGGCAGCGACTTTTTGTCAAATCTTATCTTCATCCTGTCGCTGGAAAGCTGTAATTTGGTCCTGGCAAATTCATGTACAATTTCCAGTCTCTCCTTCAGGTCACATACTCTGAAAGAGGTACCCCTTGAGATTCATCGAAAGGACTGCCATACAATACATCTATCGGAAGCTTCAGTTCCTTACCAGTTAACAACATGGAGGGTGTATGACCTGTCGCGTCATTTTGAGAGATCTTATATGCCAACAGAAAAAGAGGAACCAATTTATCCCAGTCTCTTTGGTTTTCGGAGACAAACATCGAGAGGTAGTTATTGATGGTTCGATTATGTTTCTCGAACATTCCATCGGATTGTGGGTGAAGAGCAGTTATTCTTGTCTTATTTATTCTCAACAGTCATCATTTCCTTTATTAATACGATTCGAAGTTGCGGCCCTGATCCGAGTGTAGTTCTTGGGCCTACTCCGTGTCTGGCAACTACGTTCTGCAACAGGGCTCTGCCACCGTTTTAGCCTCTTGGTTGGATAAGGCTCCTACTTCAGGCCATTTGGAAAAGTAGTCCATCACAACCATAAGGTACTTGTTACTGGATGTGATCATAGGGAGTGGTCCTAAAATATCGACTGCGATTCTCTCTAAATGGCACTCGCTGAGGTACTGCTTCAATTTTCCTCTTTGCCCTATCTTCGGACCCTTTCTCGAAGAGCACAGGTCACAGCGCTTACACCACTCTTCCACGTCTCGACGACAATTGATCCATTAGCACCTCTCGCGCACTCTCGCAAGAGTTCTATTTACTCCGAAATGCCCTCCAGTACGACCATCGTAGAGGTGTTCAAGGATACTCGGGATACACGTCTTAGGAATGATCACCTGGAATCTGTGGGTTCTTCCATCCGTGCTTTTCCAAATCCGAGTGAGTAGGTCATCTCGAATGCTCATGGAGTCCCATTGGAGCCAGTAACTCTTTTCCTGCTGGCCGTGCTTGGAAATCTCTTGCCATTTCGCTCTCGTTCCTTTGTCAATCCATTCTTGTACAGTTTTCAAAACTGGATCCTCCTGCGCTACGATGATGTCTTGCCCCGTCAGAAACTTAGTATCACCCTCAGAGGATGTTAACGACCGTATCACACCATGGTCAGGTGATTCCTCAAATTGTCTGTCCGTATCCCTGGACAAGGGACCCTTACAGGTGGCTACCCTTCGTTTCAGAGGGAACCCGAAGCGGCGGGAGGTAGGGGAGCTTATCTCGCTATCAGAACTGTGCATGAAGGAGTCTCTACCCGCTACCTTATCACGTCTGGTGGAAATTTCTTTTTCTGGTAGCTGTCTATCCTCGTCCTCCATGTAATCCACAGTGTAATCCTTTTCAGATCCGGTGATTCTTTCCGAAGTTCCCAGAAAACCTCTTCAAACTTTTTGTCGACTCCTTCAAGCTTTTTTTCAAGCTCTCCTTCAAATTTTCTTTCGACTTCTTCAAGCTCCTCCTCACATTTCCTTTCAACCCCATCAAGCTTCTCATCGACTAATTTTTCCAATTTCTTTGTTTCTTGAGAAGTTTTTAAATCTTCAAATAAATGAAGGTACATCTTATTGTATTTTTCTTGTTTCTCCTGGATATTTACCAATAATTTATGACAATTCTCTCAGTTTCTTTTTTGTTTTTCCAGAATATTCAGTAATAATTCACGATTTTCCTTCCGCCGTAAACGTTCTTCCTCCCTCCTTCGTTCAACGCCTCAAACATTTTCTTAAGTTCATCCATCTGATCGTAATCGACACCTCTTATTTTCACTATAAAACAGAAAATTTTTCAGTCAATTATTCCACTTCCGACACCAAATGTTTAGTTTTTCCATGTGGGTTGACCAATAATTGACTACACTAAATAATCAAACTTAACTTTATTTCACTTTAAATATAACAAACACTTCAACTAAACTTCAACTATTATTTGAATGTCTGTCGCCTTACTAGATCAATTCACGTACCGCACTGTAACGTCCACTTGACTGTGTCGATATGCTCGCGGCTAGCGTTTAAATATTTCCGTCGAAATCGGTAGCATTATTCTCGCTGCTTCTAGAGCGGCAGGGACCATTGTGCATTCGCGCTCTCTTAGCTACGTCACGTTTGGTTTATGGTTACCAGTGGCGGCTGGCGTTATTTTCTTTCGGGCATGATTTACAACAATACCATAGGTATTTCTAGGTACCTGCGTCTTCAGTGTCTTAAATTAATTTCACAATATTGCCTTATCTACTAGTCTTGAATTAATTTTACAATGTGTCCTCATGTAAAAGTCAGGTAAATCTAATAATTAATATATTTCAACAAGCTATATAGTATACTATTAGGTATTGGTCCACTATCGGTATTCATAATATTATTATGTTTACTTATTTCTACACTATCATAGGCATCTAGGTGCCTGTTAAGAATGAACGAAATCTACTGGATGTTTTTTTTTTTGAGAATTCAGAATGTTGGGTTTTGATAACGTGAAAAAATTGTTTTGCGAAACGTCGACCACTGAAGAAAGCTACGTACAGTTTTTTTTTAATAATATATTGTGCCAGCGTTTTTTCCAATCCTCGAAAAAGTTCTGATTTGCACTTTTTGGTATACCCTTGAGCTCTCTCAGTGATTCGGTTTTCACCTCTTCAATCGTCGGAAACCGCCGTCTTTTCATGGGTCTCTTCAATATTGAAAACAGGTAAAAGTCGCAGGGAGACAAATCTGGTGAATACGGTCTCTGAGGCATGATTGAGGTGTTGCTTTTGGCTAAAAAATCACAAATAAGCGATGCACAAACAAGTGCATCATCGTGATGCAAAACCCATAGATTTTTTCTCCACAACAGCGGACTTTGTCTTCATATTGTTTTTTTGACAAGCGGCGTATTACTTCAAAATAATACTCCTTCTTTTTGTTCTGATTGATTCGGCCGTTACTTGATGAAGATCCATAGTAATTTCATAAACTACGCCTTACGTCGTAAAGTGTAGTTTATGAAATTAATACTCCTTCAACATTACCATCTTCATTCGGGTTTGAAGGCCGTCGTAGTTTGGAACTGCATCCTAATGTTTCGCCAGCACGAGTGGCTGGCTCCTTTAAACCCGAATGAAAATATTGGCTGCAAAAGCCGTAACCAATTTATCCATAACACTCCTTATTGACCGTAATGTGGCAAGAACTCCTGAAGCACTACGCCACGTTAAACGAAGAAAACAGTGAGCAAAACCTTGACATATGATCGAACTTGGCGTGTTTTTTTTGGTCTTGGCTCTCCTGGGCTTCCATTGGGACGACTGAACTTTGGTTTCGATGTCATAATCATATACCCGTGATTCGTCACTAGTTATGACCCTTTTAAGCAAATCTGGATCGCCGTTGACGTCAATCAACAATTCCTGAGCGAAAATCACGCGATGATTTTTTTATTAAGTTCAGCATATTTGGAACGACTTCGCTACCACACGTTTAATGCCCAAACTTTCCGAAAAAATTGTAAGGCATGAGCTAACCGATATGTCGACATTATACCTCGTATTCCTAAAATTCAACTTTTACCTGGTGTTGTCTTCCTGTAGTACATGAATACTTTTTATCTTTAACATTTTCTCTCCATGAGGAAATGATATATTTTCTCCTATAACTGGGTATCTTTGTGTTTCTCCATTTCACCTTGTATTATATTTTATTGTGGGATGTTCCAATTATTTATATAGATTTAGGAATAACGGTTAG